GGCTTGTCGGAGAAACTCTGCTGAGGGCCCCGCCCGAGGAAGTGATCCAGGCCAGGACGGATGGCACACGCATCGTAGCTCTTCTACTTCACCAGAACCACTACATCTTGATCCACAACTTCAACGCATTCGCTGGCCAGCAAGGCGAACAGGTTGGGGTAAGGTGGCGCAAAACAAGCCGTTTGCACCTGTGTCCTATCTGCACTCAGAATTTCAAGTCCGAGCTCGCCTTGCGGACTCATTTCAAGAACGGGCAGTGCCGTGCTGATTTCGAAGGTAGGAAATCCCAAATTTCTATGCCCTCGCCGCAAACATCCGCGTTGCGGTATCGGACCACGCTGTCTTGTGAATTATCTCCGTTAATGGTGTATGCGGACTTCGAGGTTTTTAGCAATGAATGTGAAGGTGGGGCCGCGATCTTGGGGTGCCAGAACAGGGTGGCTGCTGTGGGCTACGCGGCCGTGGGCATGTGCGGTTACGAGCCGCCTGATGAGCACAAGCTGCGCATGATCCACGCTCTGCCTGGCGATGACGAGAGTGCTGTGGTTCTCAAGTTTCTCGCGTCCATGATGAACCTTGCAGATCACTTTGAGGATTGGAGGGAGCTTGGCAAAAAGCGTTTGGTTTGGAACGCAGAGCAGAAGTCCGAGCACAAGAATGCCAGAGTTTGCCGTGAATGCCGGAGGGCTTTCGATTCCAAAACGGAGGGGTGTGGCAAGGTTGCCCATNNGTACGGGCGCTTTCTTGGGTTCGCTGTGCCAGGATTGCAACAAGGCTGCCCACAAGCCCTCCCACGTCACCATTTGCTTCCACAATGGTGGGCGGTATGACTTTCACTTCCTGCTCAGGGCTTTTGCCAAGCTCAGGCACGTCACCCCAAAGACTTCAGATGATCGCGAGAGTGGCTCGAAACGCGTGGGCTGTCGCTCAGGCAAGATCAGGAAGTTTGGCATCAAGGAGCTAGCCGCGAGGTTCCAAGGTGTCCGCTTGCAAGGCCTAGTTGACTCGCTGCCTGGCGACGTGATTAAGAGGCTTCGAAAGTTCAAGGTNNCTAACCTGGTCATGAGATTCGGGGTTCTGCGCTTCATCGATACGATGAACTTCTGCAAGGCTGGGTTGGGCGGCCTCATCGAGTCTCACCGGCGTGCTGCTCTCAAGACGGCCCCCCTCGGTGACAGGAGTGAAATCTTGGCTGTGGAGCGTGCTTTCCCGCTGACGGCTTCCAGGCACCCCTTCTTGAAGAATGCT